CAGCAGAGGCAGATCAACTAGAATGCCGCTCGCAGGTCTCGCGGCCGGCGGGTTCTTTTTTGACCTCTTTGGCGAACCGCGAAAGCAGTTTCAGGCTTCGGAAGCTGCGCGGCTCCTCGCGGTTCTTTTCGCTGCCCAAAACCAGCGGAAATAATTTATCAATTCCTAACGAAATTGAGTCGTACGAACTGCCGTAGTTGGCGGTGCCCTGCGTGATGTTGCCGTTAGGCGCGATGAGGAAAATCCGACTCTCGAGGAAGCCGGACTGTCGATACGCAATGTAGTCGGTGTAGCGGTTGCCGAAGCCGGCGAAAAACGGGTTGAAGTCCGCGGGGAACAGCGAGCGGATGTCTGCGAGCACGGCCTGCTTGAAGAGGAACGGTTGTTTGTCGATAACTTCGCGCTTCAGCGACTTGAAGAGTCGGTCCGGCGACAAGAAGAGCGGTCCGTCGGGCAGCTGGGAGAGGCTGTCCTGCATGAGGCTGAACAGGTAGTCGCGCGTGGTCGCGGCTTGGCCGATCGCGCGCGCAGTCACGTAAACAATCTTGTATCCGCGCTGGTACAGCGTGCTGAACATCTGCGCGACGCCTTTGTGCGACCAGTCGCGTCCGAGAATCGGCATCACTTGCCCCCAGATGTCGCTCCTGGTGATGGTGCCGTCCACGTCGCTGATAATCAGTTTCGCGTCTTCGGGCCAGAGGTACACGGTGCAGGCGACCGACTTGACGCCGAGCACCTTGCTTTCGACGCTGAACTCGACGATGTTTGCGCCAGGCTTCAGCTTGAACAACGCGAGCTCTTCCGCAGAAGGCTTGAGCGAGCGGCGCTGTTCTTCGACGCGCGGCTCGCCCGCGGACGCTTCCGCGCTGTTCACGAGCGGTGTGGCCTCTTCGCGGCAGATGAGCAGCTCCGCGGCCGTTTCCTTCGCGCCAGAGCAGCACTGCGTGGGCTTGGCGGTCGCCGCGGCAGCACTGGAGTCCGCGTCCGTCGGCGGTTCAATCGCGATGCGCGTCCGCAGCAGCTTCGAGAACGCCTCGGGGTCGAGAGGCTTTTCGAAGAGCACCATCGAGGCAAGCGAAGGTAGCGCGACGCGCGCGGGCACGAATGGGCCTTTCTTCGCAAAGCGGAAGGTCAGCGCCGGGTGCAGCCACAGCTGCGGGTCGCGCGCGAAGTGCTCGTAGCTCAACTGGTTTTCCGCGAAGACCTGGTCGTCGATTTCCTGAAAGCGTCGCGTGCCGATCAGCAAGTGCCCGCAGAGCGAGACCGCGATGGGGCCGCTCTCGACGCCCGGTTCATCCGCGTCGGCGCTCGGCCGCGCGAGCGGCGCGCCCGGCGCAGTCTCCGCGGGCCAGCCAGCGGCGCCGCTCTCCGGCTCGTCGGAGGTTTCTGACTCCTTTTCTCCATACTCGCGCAGCAAAAGTTTTTCGACCTCGTTTTCCGGCTGTTCCGCCGGCGAGACGAAGTACGCCTCGCCCGCGTAGCCCAGCCGCATGGTCACGGGCACTAGCTCGCCGTTCACGCGGATTTGCACCTCTTGGTCCGCCGGCCACAGCGTCTTCAGTCTGCCGAAGCGCACGTGAAACGCGGTCGACTACGTGTGCGCGCGCGCCACTTACCGCCAACGAGCCATCCGCCTGCGGCACCACCACGATGTCCGAGCAGCCGGACAAAGTCGCCGCGTTGAGCTTCAAACTGCTCCAAACAGACGAAACAAACTGCGTCAACATGGAAAAGCGTCGCGCATTTACCGATTCTGTCTCGCGGCAGCGATCAGCGCGATCCGGATTTACGCGCAGCGAAATAATAATTATAACAAGACATAAGCTTGCAAAGTCCGCAATAACTTCGTTCTGCTTTTAATGCTCCGCTGCTGCTCGATCACGCGCAGCTTGTTTTCGAACAGTCGCTGCGTGAACGCAGCTGCGCCAGCGGGCTCTGCGGCGGGCTCGCTCGCTGGCGCAGCACAGGCCGCTTCGGCGACGGCGGAGGACACGCTGCGCCGCACGAGGCAGTAGGGCCGGCGGGACGCGGCGCCGCCGTCGGCGGGCAGCCGGGCTCGCCAGTGCGCCTCAAACAGCCGCGTGCACGGCGAGCCCAGACAGTTCGGCTGCTCCAAAATTGGCGCGTCGGGTTGCGCGCTCGCCAGCGCACAGTGCGCCAGCCCCGGTGTAGTAGTTTGCGGCGCGGACTGCGTATCAGCGACGGCAACTTTCGCCGCGCCGCGCAGCTTTCCGTAGCAGATGTCGTACACGACCGGGCGAAGCTGCGCGCGCGCCAGCACGCGAAAGACGGCGAGCTCGTGCGCGCCTGAATGCGTCGAGAAGCAGACGGTGAGATACGGCGCTGCGGAAAACGCAGGCGTCTCCGGCGGCAAGTCGAGGTTTGCCACCAGCGAGAACACATTCAGCAGCTGACTGTCGAGGCGCACCTCAACGAAAGAGAACGGCAGGAAGCTGAGCCCTTGGCAGTCGGCGCACAGTGGCTGTGCTACGCGCGCGGCGTGCAGCGCCGCAGGCTCCGCGGCGGCAGCCGCCGCCGGCGCAGCAGCGTCTGCAGCCCGCGCGCAGCAACACAGCGGCGGCACGACCAGCGGGTGGTTGCGCAACCAAAGAAACCGCTTATTCAGCGCAAACGCGCTCGCTTCGCCACCCAGCTCCGCCTCGTCGAATGCCGACTGCACGACCGAGTTCGCCGCCGAAGCCGCAAGCGACGCCGCCAACGACGTCGTCGCTGACGAATTCGCCAACGGCGCCGCGCGGGCAGCAGCGGTCGCCGATGGGCCCGCGGCCTGCGAGGTTTCGCTGCGCACGAACGCGAGCGGCTCCACGTTCGGCACGCACTTCAAGGGCGTGGCGAAGCGCAGCCGGCTCAGTTCCTGCGTCACGCGTTCTTCAAACAAACAAAGCCTTTCCTGCGACGGCTGAGGGCTGGCCGCGTCGGGCGCAGCGTCGGTCGCGCTCGTCGCTTCCTGCGTCGCGCTGCGGCGCAGCGCCTGGGCAACGCTCTGGCGCTCTAGCTCCGCATGCGGCTGGCAGTAGTACAAAAACGGCGTCGGCTGCCACGCCTTGCCGCCCTCCGTGAGCGCGGGAAGCTGCTCGAACGAGCCGAACAGCAGTTCGAATTGCTCAGCGTCCGGCGCAATCCGCAGCGCCAAGTCGCGCGCGCGCACCTCGCGCGAGACCGGGCAAAGAAACTGCAGCTTCGCGCCGTCAATTGCGAGTGTGCTCGTTTTCAGCCGCAGGTGATCCCCGTAGTGCCGCTGCGGCGTGTGCGCAATCCAAAGGCTGCGCGCGTGCCGCCGAAAGGCCTTCGAGAGCACTTCGCTCAGGCTCTCCAACTGCAACTCTGTGTCGACTGTGCGGAAATTCGCGTCGCACGCGGCGCCGCACTCATCGCTGCTGTCAACGCTGAGTCGCGCCCCTGCTTTCGCCTCGACCTTCGGCACAGCCGTTGCGTCGTCTTTCGCATCGGCTTTCGCGTCGGCTTTCGCGTCGTCACTTGCGTCGCAGCAACCGTAGTTGTTCGCGGTAATTTGACCGCCGGACGCCGCCGCCAGCCCCAGCGCGCCAAACAGCGAGGGAGTCTCGGCAGCGGCGGCGACGCGAG